TGCTATTCAGGACAGAGACATTCCTGTACTCTGAGGAACTGTTACATAGGTGGTGGCTTCTGTGTCTTATTATGTGAGTAGTTTAGAGCCAGACTACCCCTAAAGGGAGCGTAGTCAAGTTTTGTGTGTGCTTAGTTTTTGTTTCCTTTTCTCCTGCTTTGTTTTTAAGTGTTCTTGTGGTTTGGCAAAAATATACATTTTTTAAACGTTTATTTATTTATTTTGGGAGAGAGAGAGAAAGAGAGAAAGAGAGCATGCATGTGTAAGTGGGGGAGGGGCAGAGAGAGGAGAGAGAGAGAATCCCAAGCAGGCTCTGCACTGACAGCCTGATGCAGGGTCCGAGCTCATGAGGAGTGAGGTCATGACCTGAGCCAAAATCAAAAGTCAGATGCTTAACCTGCTGAGTTACCCAGGTGCCCCTGGTAAAATACTTTTTTAAAAGTCATTGTATTTGTGTGATTTATTTGGATTTTTCATTTTTGTTTCCTTAAGCTTTTAATTCTGAAATAGTTTTAGACTTAGAAGAAGTTGCAAAAACATAACCAAGAGTTTCTCTGGACCCTCCCCCAGCTTTCCCTAGTGATACCATAACCATAACCATTGCCATATCCCTCAGTATGGTATCCCTCAGATACCATACCATAACTGTCACGATATCAACCATCAACATAGCAATATCAAAACCAGGAAGTTGGCATTGGGGCAAACTATTAACTGTATTGAAGCCCTTATTTGGACTTGAAGAAAGTGACTTAATCCTAGTGGCTGGACTACCAATGGTGATAGCCTAAACCCTTCCTCTCATATATAAGAGACTGACCTCAAAGTTTCTGGCCTGGTGGGCAGGCAGGGAAGAAACAGTCGGTTCTTAAATGTCTGCAGTGATTTATGGTTACACATGATTCCAGTTTCCCCTGACCCAGAACCTAGGACCAAATGCTCTGCCATAGTGCACAGAATTGACCTTGGCTTCCAGTCAGCCAACCCAACAGCTCACTTGTCTTCAACCCTGCATAGGACGAGGGGATTTCAAGTGTGATATTTCTTTTTAGCTTTAATACCAACAAGTGGCCTGCCTGCCTCCCTGCCCAGGCTGCAGCTGAGCCAAGCCCGGGACAGTTTCTCTGTGAAGCAAAACCTGAGCTTTGTGTCTTCTTGCTAGTGATAGGATATTCAAGCATGCTATTCCTGTTTGAGTATCTGAGGCACTTGTGGTATGTATTCCTCTGAATACTCCTTATGTAGGTCTTTGCCATGCTTTTCAAAACAGATTGGTGGTGGTTCTTCCATGCTTCACCTGTGGCGTTTAGAGCATTCCATTTTCAGGATATCTTCCCTTGACCGTCTAGCATCTGAGTCTATGACTCCATTTATGGGGATTTCATTATCTGTCCAGAGGCTCCATCACTCTATCTTTTCAGTAGACATAACCTATGTCAACCTCAGGCTGAAAGTCTTTGCTCTCAAATATCCAGGGACTGTTCACCTTCAGAGCGCTAGAGTATCCCATGTTTATGTAGGCACTGGAAATTTCCCATGACCAGACTCCTGTTTAGGATAGTCCGTGGAAAAACCCTGGAGACAAGCCCTTTGGAAACATCCATTTAATTTGAGGGGAATTTGTTCTGGTTTGTGAATCAATTTTGTAAGGAATTCTGTGTTTAAAGGCCAATTTCAGTTCTCTAGCTCTCCCCACTCAATAGCTAATGTATATTTAAGAGCTGCCTGAAGGGTTAACTCACTTTTTTTTCCTAGTGATTATAGATGCACACCTCAAGGAGCTGGCTTACTTGGGCAGTTAATTTCTCTCTGGAATTTCTCTTGCTTGAATGTCCATAATACATTGACTTCCGCAAAGAATTGATTTCCACACAAAATTCCCTGCTTGCCTTAAACCCTTCCTCACAAGCCGCCGGCTGCCTGCATAAATATGTGGTTTTTCCTCATGAATC